TGTAACTTTGTTTTGCACTAGAGGAGTGTTAATAACTGCTCTGCATGTATCACTTATCATTTGGTCTTTAAAGCGAAACTAAACTCTTCTATCCTTTAGAGCCAAGGAAGCTGTCATGCTAGCCTCTGCTTGATGTGCACTCCCCATGGGGCTGCATGTGTGATCAGTTATGACACCAGCCATTTGATGGCTTGACAGTTTGGTTGAGAGCAAAAGGAAATGTGACAGTTATCCTTTGTGGCATGCCTTTGGGTGGGGGCGTAGCATTGTGCGGTGGCAGTAAAGACACAGTAAAGTCTGGTTATAATCAAACATGGAACTTGTATTGAAGAGAATGCCAAACTAAAAACACCCCCAGAGGAAAAGCACCTCTAGGGAAAACACTCACAGTTCAGTTCAAATGAAGAGATGCACTGACAACATCTGTTTCAGAGGGAGAAGCGTGGCCTTGGAGGTCTGATGCCAAAGAGGGAAGGCTTCTTAGAAGATTGTGAATCCCTAACTTGTCCCAACTTGTCAGGAACCTTTTGCAGCTGCATTCTCTAACAGATGGGTTATCTGTTCCTACTCTACTCACTTTGCAAAAGAGCACCAAAACCTCAGGGGCAGGGACTTATAATGACCCTGCTGACCCAAGATGGCCACCAGGAGTCTAATGGATGTAGTGCAGCCAACCAGCACATTGCTCCATGACTCAGGAAACTACAGAGAAACCAGATTTCCCTTGACTTCCTCTCCATCTGTAGCAGCACTTGTTTGAGTGCCCCTGCAGTGGAGTAACCAGGTTGCACCTGCCTATACCTTGAATTTAACTGTTCTGGAATATCAACCGCTTGCCCTCCACCCTATAGTAGAAGTATTGCTACATGGCGGCAGGGCTGCGCAAAATCACATATATATATATATATATATATACGTGATTTGCTTTTCCGAGTAGGGGGTGCGCATGCCACCCTACCCATGTCGCTATTGGCTGCTAGAAATGTCAATCACCGGTTCCCAGCCGGTGATTCCCAGCCGGCATTTGGCGATCCTTAGGCAAAGCTGATAGGATGAGACTTGTGTGTAAACAATATAGGTCTCTCTCCTGTGGAAATGCTGCTTTGTATCTTTCTGCACAGCATGTCTCCCTAGTAAAACACAGTGTACACAGTAAAACACACACAGAACACAGTTAACCCTTTGATCGCCCCAGATGTTAACTCCTTCCTGCCCAGTGTCATTAGTACTGTGTCAGTGGTTTTTATTAGCACTGATCACTGTATTAGTGTCACTGGGGATGTCAGTGGCAGTTAGTCAGTTCCCACCCAGTGTCAGAATGCCTGCCACAGTCCCACTATAAGTCGCTGATTGCTGCTATTACTAGAATAAAAAAAATTGCAGTATATATACCGCTTTTTGTAGACTATAATTTTGTAGTCTTTAACTTTCACGTAAAGCAATTAATTTTCATGTATTGGGATTTTTTTAGCATGTAGCAAAATACATTTTAGCCTACATTTATGAAGCAATTAGATTTTATAATTGGATATATTTTATAGCAAAAATGTTTTTTTTTTCAAAACCGATGGTCTTTTTTTGCTTATAGCACAAAAAATAAAAACCACAGTGATCAAATACCACCACAAGAAACCTCTATTTGTGGGAATAAAATGACATTTCATTTATGTACAGTGTTGCATGACCACGCAATTGTCCAGTTAAACTAATGCAGCACCGTATCGCAAAAAATGGCCTGGTCAGGAGGGGGGGGGGGGGGGTAAATCCTTTAGCGGCAAGTGGTTTAATTGGTGGGTTTATTTTCACTTTTATATACTGCAATAAAACAGACTGCACAGCTACTCAAATGTAAAATATCTAATTTCCTGTGCCGGTAAGAGTACTTTTAAATATGTATTTGTGACTATCATAGCCACTTGCTCACACAAAGCAGCTTTTTGTTGTAGGCTCTCAAGGTGCCCGCTCGTATTTTCACAAGAGGGAGAATTGTCTGCTATCACACATTAGCCTGATACAAGTTCAATCCCTTTGTTTATGTCACATAGTGATAGATTTCACCATTAACCTAAAATATTCACAGCATGGGCTACAAATATAAACATTTTAGTTTTCCTCCTCAGTCTGCGGCAGCTGTCATTGAGCAATGAACCTACGAGTGACATATGAGAAGAAAATTATATTTTGTCACAGACAAACGAGGGGGATTTAATATAGTGTTTATTCATATGTGGAGAAACTACAGGATTTGATGGAGCCTAATTACACTTTATAAACATCACACAAGACGAGGCGCCAAGCTTGTTTAATTACGGCACTAAGCAGAAAATACAGAAGCCTGATATAAAAGTGTATGGTGATCCTCCTACAATCACTCTCACATGAGGAATGGATTGTCCGGACATCCAGTGCCCGAAATGCATTGCTGCCATCCTAAGAATGTTCTGAAATAAATATGGAGATTCCTTTCTAATAATAACACGGCTGATTACTGTTTGTGATATGAAAACTGAACTCCAGCAAGACAGAAAACTGTTTCCTGGTTTATAAATTAAGGAACTGCATGTCATGTCAGTGAGTGATTCACGTTTTTCCTGAAAATCACATAATACAGCTAATTGGGATACTTAGGAGGAAGTACACTTTTGTAAATCCTTCTGGTAACATTCTCAAAAGGTTTAAAGTGAAGTTTCATTCACACTTTAAAAAAATAAAAGTCAGCAGCTACATAAACTGTAGCTGCAGACTTTTAAAAAACACACACTCACCTGTCCCTCGATCCTGCAGTGTCCTTTCCGCAGCCTGTTTCACCGGCTGTCTGGAGTTCCCAGCGCCGGCATCTTCAGTGTGGGCAGCCGGCTGTGACAGCTTGCAGGTTCCCAGCCGGGTGCCCACTGTGCATGCGCAAGTACCGCTGCCCTTTCTGAAAGGACCTGTCACGTATCCCAGAAGACTACAAGAAGGGAGGGAGGAGAATAACTTCCGCTTCCAATCGCCTAGGCGATCACAGCAGAAGTGGGTACCTGTCAATTTCAGGTACCCACTCCCCCCCCCCACTCCAGTCTTTATCTGCCTCTCGCCCGCCACATAAGGAAATAACGGGAGGGTGGCAGTTCTCTCGTTCTGGGCGGACAGAGTGTCCATGGGATCACCGAGCGCACTAAAGAGCCGATGACGTCGGCTCTGTCGTGATTAGCTGTGTCCAATCACAGCTGATCGCATGTAAATAGGAAATGGTTATTGTCAGTCCTCAGAGGGGACATGTACACTGATCACCAGTGCCCTTATGATTAGTGTAGCCCCATCAGTGCCACCTGTCAGTGCCCATAATTGCCACCTGTCAATAGGCATCAAGAAAACGAATACCTGCATCCTGCTTAACTAGGCCTCCAGCCGCAACACCACCGACTCGGAGACACCACCGCAGATACCCCCACCTGAATAACTGGAAGCCGTACCTCAGATGGGTTCCTACAAAGTGCCTTTCTTGTGCCCACAGTAACCAACCAGGACCTTGCACCCCACCAGTCATCCTCTAGCACCAACTGGCACAATCACCACCAAAACAAACTGGGCGGGAGGGAAGTTTGCCTTGTGAAAACTCTCTCCAGACTGGAGATGCCCTGCCACATCCTGTTAGACCATCCCTTGTAGCTCCACCTGCTCCCTCCTTAAAAACCATTTAGACTCCCCCTTTAGCTAATGGGACTCTCCTCTCCCAACCCCCTTTAACCCCTGTCATGATGGCCCTTCGTTCAGGTCTTCTTTCTTTCTTTTACTCTGGGCCTTCCTATCTTGACACTAGGAAGGTGTACATAATAAAGCGGCTGATGAGTGTATATGTTACGTTGTCACCAAAAAGTAAAAATGTTTTAATTTTCTTGAAATTGCAGCTGATGCACTACCATATGATCACACAGGAGTTAGGGATTCTTGCCACATAACTCCCTAATGGTTTTCCCCATTGGATCCAGCAATCACCCAGAGATAGATAGTCTATCACTAGAGCAGCGATTAAAGAAAGTCTTTGGAATAGTACTTCTGAATTGTTAAATAAAAAATAATGAGAAAATAACTAGCTGCTAGCATAAGAGGATAAAACCCCTTAATCCTCAAAATCAAACATAAAAAATTGAATATGCAGCGCTAAAAACAATGTGACTGTGTATATTGCACATTAGTGCAATAAAAGTGAATTACAAATTTGTTACCAAAATGACAAGTGCAATAGTGAATGGATGAAAAAAGCAGCAATCAATATATAGTGAAAAATTGATACAGATGTGAATATCCTGTACACATTAAGAATATAAGATAATGTAATATAAATGACAAATCATATGGTGCTTATAATTAAAAGTCCAATAAACTAGTGAATGGATGAGAACCCCTGTGAATCATATAGTTGGATTCCAGCACTGCAGGTGGCGTCAGAATTCAGTGCATTTGACTTCCCGTGATAAACAGAATGAAGAGTGCTTGCATTTACCAGAAGCGCAAGGTTAAATGTGCATATCAGAAATATCATATCCAGCACGGGACCCTGGTGGTCATCATGGATCTGGGGGAGGGGGGCTCCAATGGTACACACACACCGGACAGCACTCCAGACCTCGCAACAAGCCAATCCAGCACACAGGGACACAGGGATAGATCCTTTAACGATTCCAGTAACTTTGCACCGCTTTGCATAACAGGTACCACTCCACCTTAAATGGCGTGGGACACAGATGTCAATACTTGACTGCCGTATGTCAATATACTGTAAGCATGAACTTCAGCTCTTTCACCCCTTATCTCGTCATAAACTCTATGGGGTCACCAACAGGGCTCAATCCAAAAGGCTCCAGCTATATTGGCATATCAGCCATTCCATTAGGAACAATCGCTGCGCCACATTCCGCGTATCCAGCACTTCCATGTCAGAAATTCAGTCAAGAAAACTGTAAATAATGTAAATTCATGTAGGTACAAGTACTCATTTATGTTCATTTTATTTGCAGCTGTCTTTTTATATCATAGTGAAAGCTATCTATACATTTGGTCACAGTGCTTCACTCATAGCGCTCACAATAGGAAGTGCAATTCTTTGTTTATTCCGGTAAGTAGACTTGCATGTTTTAACCTTGTTTGCCTTTTATTAACTGCAATGCATGTCTTCACTAGAGTAAAACTTTACGAAAGTCTCAGAATGTTCACAGAAATGTCAGGGAAACTCTTTCATCCCTACTCTTGTTTCATTGTTCCACATGTTCTCAGCTTGTATTAGGATTCTCCTAGGTATAATACTTGGTAGAGATCTCTCCAAAGTTCCTCTTTACAAGCTAAATGAAAATAAATTAAATGGAAGGATCAAAGTTCCTGGGTACTCCTGGCCAAAAAAAAATAAACTTTTAGCAGAACAAAAAAAAAAAAAATGTAACCATGTTTTAGTTTTTTTTGCCTGGAGCTACACATTAAAACATTTGTATTTAATTGTTGCTCATAGGGAGCGCGCAAGTCAGAGGGGACCCAATGGCCAGGCAGAGGTACTTTATGCACTTCTATGTGCAAAATTCCTATACAACACAACAATTTTTTACATTTCTTCTCTTACTTGCAGCTTTGGTCTTTTGGTTCCCCATAGTTGTAGTTTAGCAGGTGGGACTATAGTTGAAGACAGGGAAAACATGGGCACTGCTTTTTATTTTCTTATGAGGAACACACTTTTCTGGCAGTAGTTTCCTTCAAACAGTCCTTGAAAGTTATACCAAACACAAATAGAAGTGATATGAGAACATTTTAATTAAATCTGTCAGTTTGATATCACATTGGTGAATTCCTGTTGGATAGACTCTGTTTCTTTTCCCTTTTTTAATCTGATGCCAAAGTTTGTTTTTCAAATTTAATATGAAAAGGCTGTGATTCCTGTTGTGAAACAATATTAGCCTGCACTGAATTATCATGACCTTCAAGGGTGAAATGAGAGAGCATTGCTGAGAAGTAATCACCTTAGGCAAGTTAACAATTAAATATTTTACACCAACTGAACATCAGCAAAATAAGCGGATAAGTTCTTTTGCTTTTGATGTGAAAAGCCTTTCAATGTCACACATGTCCTTTCGAGCAACAAAACTAGGACAGTATCATGAATGTATATGTATAGAAAAATCCTTTTTTGTGTGGTTGGAGTAGAGAAGGGTTGAGATCCATGTCGAGTTTTTATTGCTCAATGCATACATAGGAGGTGACTGTATCACCTGTAGTTTATAAGTGACATTATGGACGACTTGGATCCTGGGACATGTTTTTAGATTTTTTATGTTTTTAGATGTTCCACATTTGACTCATTCCATTTCAATTGAGCATAAGCAGTATATTACATCTCCCTATTTATTAGATGCACATGGCTTTGTGTACTATGATAAGACTAGTCATAGGTAGGATGATAATTTCCCACCCTTTGGGCGGGTCAGATACAGCCCACACCTGACACGGAGTCTTGAAACTACATTATTTAAGAGAGGGTGCAGGAGACATTTGTGCTGGCTCTGAAGAAGGGGCAAGTCCTTGAAACGCATTAGCCTGTCGGATGTCCATTTACCCTGTGATGGGATGTGATGTTCTGTGGATTTGATGGTGCTGTTGTTAATGGTGAGCCTTTGTCTCACTCATCTTTTGTGAGTATAATACTGTACTTACCACTTTTATACAATAAAATCATGTTTTAAGGTTAATGCACTAGGCTAGCGTGCCCTCTTTTTTACTTTTTTGGTTACAGTGTTTTTGGACATCCCTAGTCCTTTGAGGGCAGCAAGGCGAGTGTCATCTATGGTAGCCAGGAGGAATCCATAATCCATTGTGATCTTTGAGCCCACTCCCTAGCACAGGAGATTTTGCATTTTGACTTTGACATAAATTGCCCACTCAGGGGCCAGGTATTGAATGGGTATAATAAGAACTATCAAAAACCATATACACGATAGCCAATATCAGACAACTCTGAGCCATAAGAATGGCAAGTAAAGACAAATGAAAGGAAATATATTTTTATTTTTTTCAATAAAGAGAATTAAGAGTTTACAAACACAAGTTGCTTAGTGTTACATCAACTAGGCACTAAGATGCAGAACAAGAGTTGACAGTAAATATGGATATTACTCAGCAATGAATAACCAGCAAATGAAACTGAGTTACGGAAAGTAGGCGATGAGCCCCAACGACTTATCTCTCTATGTTGAAAAGAGTCTGTGACAGGGCTAAAGGGGCCTGTCAGTCCAGTAGTATCATTGTAATTTCAAAGCCTTCTCTAGGGTGACCTGTATGTCACTGCTCCATCAGCAGGAACCATTATCACCCAGAGGGAGCCATATACGTTAAGGGAGCTCCAAGATCAACAGTAAAATCAATCGAATAAAGGGAAAGAGAAGAGAAATAAGAGGAAAACAAATCTCACCCTAGCTAGAAACCTGCCCCTGCTATCCATCCCACTGAGTTAAACCTAAATATGAGCTTGCATATAACGTAACCAAAGATCCCAGACTCTCTTGAACCTTGTTTGTATATCCTGTAAATCACTGGGCAGTTTCTCATGGAGTGCAATCCAGGAAATTGTATTTTGCATCACAGCGATGTTCACTACAGAGGAATTCCATGCCTTTTTACTATAGATATTTTATCACCCAGGAGTAAAAAAATTAAAGAATAAGTATATACGCGTGTTTGGGGATATCAGAAATTGATTCATTTAGCAGGTTAGTGTGGTGGTGTCTGGGAGCATTGATACCAATGACAGAATGTATCATTATAAATATTTTTGTCTAGTAACACTTGATTTTGGCACATTCACCAAAGGTGGAACATCATTCCCCGGTGCTCACATCACCTAAAACGTGATTTGTAATTGTTCTCAACAAGGGACATGTTCAATATAGCCTTGTGTATGCATATAGTCCATTCAGTCCAATCCTCCTGGCTGATATTTAAATCCAAATCGAGCCCAAAAAAAGTATAGGTAATTCACATAATTTGAGCGTAAAAAAACAAAATAATACCAGAACCAACAATGAATTGTTTTCCTACTATCATTAGAGTAGGGTTCATTATTCCACTACAGCCCGTTTAAGTGTTTTACAAGTTCATTATTGAATTGCTTTAATTTGTGGTTATTGTAGTCCTTTTTTAAACATTTAACTACCGATATTTACTAAATGTTTGTGTAAAAGCTTTTTTAAAATGTCCATGATATTCAAAACTTGTTACTTTTTACCTCTGTTGTTTTGTATTATCGCTGGGAGTGTCTAAATCCCCAATATTCGTTGGCTGTCTTGTACCACCCTGACGTGAAATAGCAAATAATTTTCTCTGGACACTATATCTTATTGGTTTTGATTTGCTAAAGGCAAATATGCTGTTCACTTTCCAATGGAAAGTTTGCCCTAGAGCTTAGTGAATGTGGTGATATATCACTTTTCAACAAATACCCAATCAAATGCAAGGAAAATACAAAACACTTCATGTTTGCTTGCACACGATAGGTTGATGGAAATCATCAGAGCATAATTCATTCACTAATTTGTGGGAAAATTACCCCCAGAAAAGTTCCCTAGCAAAGTGGCCAGCCTATATGCCTTTAGTAAATCAACCCCATGCTGTGTTGCTCCCATTGCTTTTCTTACACTTTTGGAGATTTGTTGCTGTGTCCCTACTAAGCAGAGTCACAATTTCTATTTGCCCTGGACAGAATGTGATCCAAAATCCAAAATGTTATTGTTGTTGCCAGAACAGGAGGAGTGTGCTAATCTTCCAATGGGTACATCTTTTACATTAATTTTCTCATTTCCTGTTGCATGTCCTGGACCCAATGGGACACAGAGAGCAAAAAATTAACTGAATTAAAAATCAATGGGCTCCATTCACAAAAGCAATTTGCATGCTGTATTTAGGTGTCCAGACACATTTTGCAAAACTATCGCATTCGACCCAGAAACTGTCAATACATTATACCATTTTGAGGTATTTACTGTAAAACTCTGAGAACTCTTGGTAAATACACAATGAACAGGCATTAAACTCAATTCACAGAAGTAAATAAATCATAAAATGCATGTGGTAATTAAGTAGTGGTCCAAGCATTCGGTATTTGTCCTCAACAACATGGGGACAAGGTGCTTTGGGGGGCCCTGCCCCAAATCACCCCCCCCCCCGTTTTGAGGGCATGTGGCTTAGTACGGTTCGGGGGGGGCCTTCACTCCCCCCTTTACTGACCTTGACCTCCATGACCTCCATGCTTGGATAAGGGTCTGCTAAGGATTGGGGGGACCTCGCGCCATTTTTTTCAGCAATTTTTTAAATGCCGCCAATTCTTTTCTTTACATTCAGCTGTCAGCAGGGAACCTGCTGACAGTTGATGACTCACCAATTGTTAAGGATTCAGTGGCAGCTCGTTCCTTAACAACCATGTTGTTTACTAGTTGCTAAGTATGCTGGCGGACACCCACTCCTTAACAACCATCTATTTACCCTGTTTGTTAAGGATGCCAACTACCACTGGCATTAAATTACTGCAGGCTGTCACTACTAAAATACCCATGACTTCATAAAATAGCGATTGCAGTATTTGAGAAAAACGTTTTGAAAAAACGCTGTGAGGTATTTAACCGCAGACTCGAATGCGGTAAGATACTACTTTGTGAATGGAGCTCAATATAACAAGTTATTCAGTGAAGATGCATACATTAATTGATGGAGTGTGCTGATGGAAAGGCAGAGTGCTTCAGTCATCAGTGCAAAAACAAGTGCAATATGCAGAAAAAAATAAATCCAGCTGATCTTAAATTATTCCCAATCTCAACAATCTTCCGAACAATTTTTGGGAACTATAGATACTATGACGTATGACCATTCCTCCCGATGATGTCATGGTAAAGAGGTCTCAACCATTTAGGATGTCAGATACCATACCTATGTGTAACATTGGCAAGCATAATTTTAATAGAATAGTTATTTGTGAGCCACCAGGAGTTAACTTACTCTATTATTAGTGTTAATTGTGTGCTTAAGTGAATATTTATTAAATAATGGATCGCCAGGCACTAATTACACCCTCTCTAGGTGTATGAAATTAAACTATGAATTCTTATACTGTACCCCGCGCTCCAATATTATCAACCTTTTGTGATTAACCTTTTATGGTTGTGTGAATTTCTTAATATACCACCTATAATCCAATCATTACTTACTTCTATGGTGCTTAAATATACAATTAACATAAATTAATTTATAAATATGAATTAAAAAATTATATGTGATTATAACAAATATTAATAAAAAATTAATGAAAAATTGGAATGTCAATTCTATGTGAATAAAATAATAAAAAATTAATAAAACATTAAAAAAAAAAAAAAAAAAAAAAAAAAAAGGGAACGTCAATTATTTTCTTTGAATTTGAGATGGTGTTGTTATTCAATTTAGTTAATGTGATAAGTCTGTGTTGGCAGCTTGAACCTCTCCCTCGTCTCCTCTCCTCTCCTCTCTCCTCAGCTCAGCTTTCTCAATTGTGCTTTCTTCACTGGCTGCTTTGTTTATTCCTCCATATACGGAACATGCAGAGAAGGGAAAAGAAACATAGTGTCTTATCTGGGATATAAGTGATTTATTGCTCTTTGATCTCCCACTCACATTGTGTAAATGTAAATAACGCTTTGCATACAATGTATCAAGATCGTGCTTCAGACAGCCTGGCTGATGGCTTTTTCAAAATCCACATCCCCCAGAGGAAGCTACGAGTCCCTGTAGCGTAACGCGTAGGGGAGGGGCAGTGACGTTATCACGCATCCACAGAGGAACGGCGAGTATATTTACTGCAAGCAAACACATCAGCCAGGCTGTCTGAAGCACGATCTTGATACATTGTATGCAAAGCGTTATTTACATTTACACAATGTGAGTGGGAGATCAAAGAGCAATAAATCACTTATATCCCGGATAAGACACTATGTTTCTTTTCCCTTCTCTGCATGTTCCGTATATGGAGGAATAAACAAAGCAGCCAGTGAAGAAAGCACAATTGAGAAAGCTGAGCTGAGGAGAGAGGAGAGGAGACGAGGGAGAGGTTCAAGCTGCCAACACAGACTTATCACATTAACTAAATTGAATAACAACACCATCTCAAATTCAAAGAAAATAATTGACATTCCCTTTTTTTTTTTTTTAATGTTTTATTAATTTTTTATTATTTTATTCACATAGAATTGACATTCCAATTTTTCATTAATTTTTTATTAATATTTGTTATAATCACATATAATTTTTAAATTCATATTTATAAATTAATTTATGTTAATTGTATATTTAAGCACCATAGAAGTAAGTAATGATTGGATTATAGGTGGTATATTAAGAAATTCACACAACCAAAAAAGGTTAATCACAAAAGGTTGATAATATTGGAGCGCGGTCAGTATAAGAATTCATAGTTTAATTGGCAAGCATAATGATATGAATGCATCCATTGCAATCTTTTGATCGTTTCCTTTCTTTTTTTATTTCAGAAAGCTGCATTGTACCAGGAACTACATTCATTTGAATTTGTTCCTCTCATTTATGTTAAAAGCTATTTCTGTATTAGTGAAGGATGATTTTCTATACTCCAGTTCACATTCTTGTCCCGACTCTCTGGTAATTACATTTTCTGCATTACATGTGATGGAATCAGTAGTTACTGTAAAATGCCTGTAAACAAGAATGGTTTGTGGCCAGGATATAGCATTTAAAAAGCGAATTTTCCAATAAAGGGCCAATAATATTTGAAAAATACATAGTTCAAATACAATATTATGCATTCAGATATTGTTTAGGCAGAGCAGAAACTCATGGGTTGACCATATCTGCCCCAGCCTCCACTGTGAGATATCCAGATCGTATATATTTAACAAAATGAAAGCAGTTTAAGGTCTGCTGCCCAAGTTGTATTAGAAATGTCTTTATTGGCCACATTAATCCTCAGAATGTAACCATGGCCAAGACTAGTAATTTATAAAACCAATGCCAAAGACTAAAGTAAATCTTTATCAACAGACAGAGATTAGATAGATACTGTAGATAGATAGATAGACAAAAGATTGTGGGAACATGGGCATCACACCCATATTGTTAAAACTATGGGACAATCCTCCAAATTATTGAGTTCGAGTGTTGCCAGTGAAAAGTACAGCTAATGCTACAGCATTCTAAGACATTTTAGATAATCGTGGCTTTCAACCATGTGGCAACAATGTGAGGAAGTTCTGCCTTTATTCTGGCATAACTGAACTCCTATGCAAATGAATTGATAAAGATATGCTTTGTGTGTAGAAATTTGAGTGTCCTAGACAGATTTCTGACACTTTTTAATACCTTTGGGATGAACTGAATTGTTGATTGCAAGCCAAATCTTCTTGGCCAATAATAGTACCTGACCTCACAAATGTTTATTTGGCTGAGTTGGCATGTATTCCTACAGACACACTCCATAATCCTATCCAAAGCCTTCCCAGAAGTGTGAAGGCAGTTATAGCCGCGGAGGAGGGTGGGGGCGACGCCATAATAGTGGCCATAGTTTTGAAGTAGGATGTATAGGTTTGAGGTCAGGTATCCAAAAATCTTAGGCTATATACTATGGCTATATACTATGAATAAAAAGATTTTTTTTTAAATGTAGAATAAATATTTTCATATACATTGCATACTCTCTGCATACTGTACAGACCACACCTATACAATTAAAAGTAACTATCAATGTTGACTTTTTCTGTTACAGGTTGGCTGCAAGATTATTTTAGTGTTTGTTCATTATTGTGTGACTGCAAATTTCTACTGGTTACTGGTAGAAGGACTTTACCTACATACACTTCTTGTGGTGATCTTCTCTCCAAACAGACATTTTACTATATATCTGTTTATTGGATGGGGTATGATCGATTTATAAATTCTTACTTTGTTTTACAGTATACATTATAGACGATGGGTTTAACCGAATGTCATGCCAGTCACACTTTCCTAAGATCGTAGTGATGATTGAAAAGCCAAACAGGATTTTTTTGAAACAATAACCAGTGTTGATATCTGTTAATTGAAAGCATTTGGGGAAAAGAGTTTACAGGAAACCTCTAATTTTAGTGGGCTAACTTTCTTTTAACTTTTAAGATTGTACATTTTTAAATTGATGTTTTCTATAACCTTTCTAAAGTGTACTTTTATGTAACACCCTCCTAGATACACTAGGGGGAGTTAGATTCCTGATGGTTAGACAGGAGCTGTCAGCAGCTCAGGTGCAATAGCTAGAGGGGTCAAAATTGGGTCAGGACTGAGAGACTCTGCAGACCAGCCTCTCTGGAATTTCCCCTGTCCAAGACTTTCGTAGGAGGACCTTGAGGACAGTGGGTGGATTTTGAGGAGTGGTTGGTTGCACTTCTTTAGGGACCTCAGCCAATCCCCAACAGGAGGTTGGAAGGGGGCTGGACTCCTTAAAAGGTGTTGGAACCTGCTCAGTCAAGAGAGAGGGGTAGAGGAGGAGTGGTGGTGGAGTTTGAGTGAGAGCAATGTGAGGTTGGTGGAGGGAGGCTGCCAAGAGGCCTGCTGGGATGGGGCTTGCCTGCAAGCCTGGACTTGGACAGGAGGAAAACTCAGGACTCACTGGTCCCCTGGGAGAGGATCACCTGTGTGTCAGGAAGGAGCCTTCCAGCTGACAAGCCTGGTAACAGTAGCCATCCACAAGCTGCGCAGAAGAGAACCTTAGTGAGTACACTTACACCCCCTGGGTGGATAGGAGAAGGAGAACTGTGGTAGGAAACCAGATTAGCCCCCTTCTATTGACTGTGCATCTTTTAAAGGGAACAGGATCCTTATCTCCTGCTACAACTGGAGAGCTTGCTAGCACTCCAACAGACTGAGAGGGTCTTAAAGGAGAAGCTGTGAATAGTTCAGAAGGTTTGTCCTCAATAGTTTGGTTCTCATGGGCATCCTATAACCCTTCCAAGTTAAAAAAAAAACAAAAAACCAAACGCTCAATGCCTGATTTCTTGTCTGAGGATGAACGGTGTGTAAAAATTGCTAAAGGACTAGCAGTGCAGGACTAAAGGGGGACCCAAATTCATCAGCAACCCCAAGGGGGTAGTGCTACATGTATATATATATATATATGTTTTTACAAATTAACAGTTGATAAAGAGTGAACTCTCTTTGGTTGAAATTCCAAAGGGCCCATCTGCTCAGAGCAGAGGTGTAAGAATAAGTCATTGCTCTGACTCATTTAGTTGTGTAGCTATTGAGCTCAGTAAACAAAATACTTTTTTCATAGAAAAATGGAGGGCAGGCATGGTAAATGTGTGTGTACCATTATACATGGTAAACATGTGTAAAGGATATATACTGTATATATACACAAAGATATATTATTATACAACTATACAACTGTGGAAACAGGCTGAACTCTGGTTGCTGCTATGATTTATATGACCTTTATGCCAGATCCTCACTCAATCTTGTTCCTAGCCTAGCCAGTGGCAATACAGTTGCCTCGATTTTTGAAAAAAAAAAGAAAAAAAAAGTTAGACAGAAGAGGTTCTGCAGAAACACCATGCTGTGAAACATGACTGGGTCAGCTTAGAAAAGTGTGAGTATCCTGTTAGAGTTTCAGTGAAGCTTTTCACTTATATTAGCCTAATAATAGTATAGGCATAACCGCTTAACTGAACTGGGATGCCTATTTTTGATGGGATGGACAAATTCAAGTAATTTCACCGAAGGTCCTGTGCAGTTCTGTGGGCAATCTTGTTGCAGAAGCAGGGGGATGAGGATTTTTTAAAAATGCTAATTGCAAATCATTCTTCAATTACAGAAAATGGTTGCTGCAGTTCAAAGAATACATATTTGAGTTTGATAGCTTTAGAATCAAAACATGATATGTAAAGGTAATTTTTAAACAAATTGTAGAATTTCTTATATAGCAATTCTACAGCATAAGTTACATTTTACAGAAGTGTAATTACACTTTAATAAACCTTTAGTAGACAGCAAATGGAAAAGATGCATATTCTGTTCTAAATTAAAGTATGCTATAGTGACACAACATTTTGGTCTTGTACACTCTGACTTTGTTTTACCTTTTCTTCCTTAGGTATTCCCACCATATGTATTATTGTATGGATTGTGACAAGAATTTATTTAGAGGACACTGGGTAAACATGTCTTAGGTTATTTTCTGTAAGCTAAAGTCAAAATATAAAAAGGTTAGCATACACATACAATATATTGCCAAAAGTATTGGGACGCCTGCCTTTGTATCTATAACAGCTTCAACTCTTCTAGGAAGGCTGTCCACAAGGTTTAGGAGTGTGTCTATGGGAATGTTTGACCATTCTTCCAGAAGCACATTTGTGAGGTCAGGCACTGATGTTGGACAAGAAGGCTTGGCACGCAGTCTCCACTCTAATTCATCCCAAAGGTGTTCTGTTGGGGTGAGGTGCAGGCCAGTCAAGTTCCTCCACCCCAAACTCGCTCATCCATGTTTTTATAGACCTTGCTTTGTGCAATGATGCGCAGTCATTTTGGAACAGGAAAGGGCCATCCCAAAACTGTTCTCACAAAGTTGGGAACATGAAATTGTCCAAAATGTCTTGGTATGCTGACGCCTTAAGAGTTACCTTCACTGGAATTAAGGGGCCAAGCCCAACCCTAAAAAACAGACCCACACCATAATCCCCCCTCAGCCAAACTTTGCACTTGGCACAATGCAGTCAGGCAAGTACCATTCTCCTGGCAACCGCCAAACTCAGACATGTCCATCAGATTGCCAGACAGAGAAGTGTGATTTGTCACTCCGGAGAACACTTCTCCACTGCTCTAGAGTCCAGTGGCGGTGTGCTTTACACCACTGCATCCAACGTTTTGCATTGCACTTGGTGATGTGAGGCTTGGATGCAGCTTCTCCGCTATGGAAACCCATTCCATGAAGCTCTCTATGCACTGTTGTTGTGCTAATCTGAAGGCCACACGAAGTTTGGAGGTCTTTAGCTATTGACTCTGCAGACAGTTGTGACTTCTGCGCACTTCAGAATGCGCTGACCCCGCTCTGTCACTTCGTGGCTGAGTTGCTGTTGTTCCCATTCTCTTCCAGTTTGTTCCAATTCCAAGAACAGTTGACCGTGGAATATTTAGTAGCAAGGAATTTTAACAGATGGATTTATTGCACAGGTGGCAACCTATCACGGTACCACGATTGAATTCACTGGGCTCCTGAGAGCAACCCATTCTTTCACAAATGTTTTTAGAAGCAATCTGCATGTCCAGGTGCTTGATTTTATATACCTGGAGGTGATTGGAACACCTGAACCCAATGATTTGGAGGGGTGTCCCAATACTTTTGGCAATATAGTATATGTATAAGTAATTTATTTATTTCCATGTTAGATTTCAGTTAATTCTCTTTAAGTTTCCATCTGCTACAGTGTTAAAGCATATCCAACCCTGCCTTGAAAAAAAATAATAGTATTTCAGCTTATGGGTCCTTAGATGTGGTGGTGGCTTTATTAGTTTTTTGTACACTTATTTTTCCTTTAACTTGCTAATTTTGCCAATACCTCACTTCTTGTCCTAATATGACAAATGTACTGAGCAGGATCATCATCCTAGAACAGGGAATGTGTCAGGACTACATAACACTTTGTTAGGACCACATACCACCTCCCTCTCTTCTCCATAACAGGGGAAGGTGTTTTGCAGTCCACAGAGATAGAAGAACAGCTTTTTATTCCCCTTTCAAATAGATATATTAAAGTTCATTTAGTGGCATATTTACCACACCAAAGAATGGCAAATAAATGTATTGCTAATAGGTAACACAAGCTTTAAGTCAAATTCTAATAACAGTTTATATGTCTAGCAAATAAATTTTGTATAAGGTATGAGCATAGCAAAAGTGCTGTGTAGCTCATTAAAGTATTAAAGTTGAGTGTTCCCCCCGCTAGTCTACCAACTCCACTCTAATTATGCACTTGGTACATTAGGTTACAATGTAAAAAACCTGGAGATGATAGTGATTCAAAAGCGTAAAAAAAAAAAAGCTCTCTCATGTCCCAAATGGCAACACAGCTTTGTCTTTTCGGCAGTGGAGTCACATTGGTCCACGTTCTTAAAGACAACTCTCCTTTACTCAATCATCTTTACAGTTATTAACTTCCTAGTGGTCATTTTGTACTTTGTATGTTCTTATGCAGTAAGCCCTGACTTTACTGATACTAATATTGTACATGTGTAAGCCCAATTGTATTTTTGGTTCTGTTGTCTTAGATAAATAAAGAAATGTAAAAACAAATCCCTTGTATATGCAAGTCTTAGAACAATAGTACAAGGTTTACATGCACTTTAACCTTCTCCCTTAACTTTAACCTGTAATAAGTAGTCCATTAATCCAACCCCTAATCTTAACCTTGGCCCCTAACACCTCAGTACAAAAAGTACCTGCACCTAAATGTTTAGTCCCAATCTAAGCACTGCCTCCACCAAAAGTAACTTTTCCTGCCTGGTAGCCTGTATCTCCAGTTGGAACTTGGGAGGTATAGCCAGCCAGAAAGAGTTACTCAGTAAGATTCATTAATCATTTAAATGGTACAATCTCATTAGTTTTTTTTTACTTTTAATATTCTTTCTGTATCTATATGTTTGTAGATGCTGGGATACCAACGAGCACAGCATTCCATGGTGGGTTATAAGGATACCGATAATCATTTCAATCATTGTGAGTGAACTTGACTTCACTGGCACATACTATTTATTGGTCATTTGGTAATTTTAATTTAGTCATTGAATTACCTTCTAACATTGGCTGATTCTTTATTCCTTCAGGTTTACTATTGTCTTTGGTACTTTTTTGTAGCTGTTTTGGGTGAGCAGTGTTATGTCTGTTGCAGATTAATCTTTCTCTTAACTCAATTTAAGTCTTGAGGTTGTCTGTGAAGGTTCTTATTGATCCAAGTTATAGTGGGTGTTATTTACTAAAACTGCATGATGCAAAATCTGGTGCACCTCCGCATGGAAACCAATCAGCTTCCAGGTTTTAGTGTCAAAGCCTAACTGAAGAAGCTGAAGTTAGAAGCTGATTGGCTACCATACACAGCTGCACCAGATTCTGATTTTGCTTTGAAGTGCATTACAGGTTAGTCATCCACTTCTGATAAATGTAGTGTATTCAGTATGAATTTTATAATTATGATGCATAGCTAGTTTATTCATAGTTTATACACAAATAGGAAATGAACATTTGGAGCTACATTTGAAGCAATAGTGACCATTATATAGCATCAAAGTGCCATTATATAGCATCAAAGAAAGAAGATAGGATTCTGAGTGCACTAGTTTTAGTTCACCTCCCCTGGTATATCTAGTAGTAGTTAGTCCCATTCAACTGAACTTCTCCTGTAATGTTGAAGATGTTTCACAGCTTATCTAAGTAGCTTCTTCAACAAAGTTGAAAAAACAACTTAAATGATCGCTGTAATGTATTCAACATTATGGGACAAATCCAGTTGAATGTAGCTTACTGCTAAAAGGCATCTTGGAGTTGTTGATCACAGGATACAATCAAATACCTTATAAAGCTGAACTCCAGGCAGATATAATAAACACCAATTAATGCAATTATGTACTCATTAAAAATCATAAAACAAATTATTAAATGCAAGTGTAGGCACCTGAATATGACTTTATATTATCTTCTTGTAATCTACTGATGGCTGAACTCACACTTGGAGAAGGTGGGGTATCTAGGAGTTAGTCATGTAGCTGTACTCATGTTTAGGTAAGGAACATGCTTACGCAAGGGCAGAGGGATGAGATTATCAGTCTGCTGATGCTCCTTCACTGTCCGGTCCAGGATGGGGGTTGGAAAGAAACTGTATTAAATCATTTAAAGGGTAACTCACTTTTGTGAAACAAGGGCTATTTGTTTTACTGCCTGGAGAGAGGCTTTAAGTCAGTATTCCCTACATATGTAAATAATGGCTGGACAAACATGAAAAAAGTAGAGCTGGTACTTACATTTTGAACTTTTTGTATAGTAGTCCAAGTATTCAGCCAGCTCTGGAATTGTACATTAAAAGATAAATGGACTTTAGATAAAAAATGCAAAGCTGTGCCAGGCAGCTGATATGCTGCCAAACTAGAAATACTGTATAAATATATTCCTGTTCGCAGCAGACATTTTTGTTCCCAGCCTATATGGGGCTGTTGTAGTGTTTACATCCTCTGGCACTCCAGTACATGTTACAGCAAAAACTGAGATGAGACTGCATCAACTTAATAAACAACAAAAATTCTTGACATATAAAACCTCAAAAGAGACACCTACATTTATAAATGGGTGACTTGTTAAAAAATCTTCAGCGGTTATAAAAAGTCTACACACCCCTGTTAAAATGTCAGGTTTCTGTGGTGTAAAAAATTGAGACAAAAAGAAATCATTTCAGAACTTTTTCCACCTTTAATGTGACCTATAAACTGTATATGTGTCTAATGCCAAAAAAACACACTTAAATGGTAACTCCTTTTTTGTGGGAAAAAATAGCAAAAAAAAAAAATGATATAGCATATACATTTGCTACACAATTCATGTTGTAATGTAATGGTATTAAAAATGACCTTTCCTTTTCAGTCTGCAGCTGCTGTTATTTTTTTGTTAAAATTCAGTTCAATGTGGCAACCTGAAAGCCTTCTGTACTCACTGCAAAACTTCCCCAGAAATATAATTTCCTGCTTGTGTGACTGGCTAACTAATTTCCCCAAAAATACGCACTGAGATACAGGTAAAATTTTAGGCATCCTCTTTTACAGAAAATACGTTTTTGGTGAGATACTCCCTTAAGGTTAACTGCTTTTAAAGGGATGCAGACACTGCAACTTTCCTCATAAGAAGACTAAAAGTGCATCCAGAGATTAGATTGAACACAAACACTCCTATTCAGGAACAAGATTTCCAAGGACATTCTAGAACATACAGCTTTTTCTTAATAACAGAAGAACGTTTGTTAACCACTTGTCCTCCAGAGTATTTACCCCCTTCCTCACCAGGCCATTTTTCGCATTACGGCGCTGCATTATTTTAGCTGACAATTGCGCGGTCTTGCAATGCTGCACCCAAATGAAATTTACATCCTTTTTTTTCCCATGAATAGAGAGCTTTCTTCGGTGGTATTTGATCGCCTGTACGGTTTTTATTTTTTGTGCTATAACAATGTTGCGAAAAAAAAAATATTTTGGACTTTTGCTATTAAATATGTCCAGTAAAAAATCTAATTTTGTCATAAATTTATGCCAAAATGTCTTTGCTAAAAAAAATTCCAATACATGTAATTAAATGGTTTACATTAAAGTTATAGCGTTTACTAACGGCGGTATATATACTGGGATTTTTTTTTTAATTTTTACTAGTAATGGCGGCAATCAGCGACTTATAGCGGGACTGCGGCGGGCATTCTGACACTGGGGGAAATTAACTTGGTGTCACTGACATCCCCAGTGACACCAATACAGTGATCAGTTTTAATAAATTGCACTGACACTGAATTAATGGCACTGGGCAGATAGGGGTTAACATGTGGAGCGATCAAAGGGTTAACTGTGTGCTGTTTTACTATGGGGGCTGTGTGTGTGTGCTTCACTGTAAGCACACTGCTTTGCAAGGCTCTGCAGTGCAAAGCCATGCATAGCAGCGTGCAGGAGCTGACAGGGGAGAGAACTGTATTGTTTACTTACAGTTCTCTCCCTCCATCGGTAATGCTCCTTAATCACTGGGTGCCGGCAAGTAATCACTGGGCAGGACCTGGTGATTGACAGCCTAGGCTGTGAATAGCGACTCGGGTGGGATGAACGTCCCCTACCTGGAAATGCAAAATTACCTATATATACGTGATTTTGCGCACCCGTGCCGCCCTGTAGCAATATTACTGCTATAGGGCGGACGGGAAGCAGTTAAAATACTTGCAATATACATAGATGACCCAGAGGGGATTGTTTTGTTTTTTTCAACAAAAGTGGGGTTACTTTTTAAGTAGTGTAAAGTCAGGTCAGTATGACATTTAGAAAATGGCAGATAAAAGGAAAATTATGATTGGTTGCTAAAACGTATTCTGGCTATAAATTGCTTCAGATTCCAAACATCGCTATGTAATCTTTTCCAGCTAGTAGGCTAAATGCTTTTCAATATGCATTGGAAATGTTGGTTTATCTGTTACTTATGAAAGGCACATGGGTTTGTTTAAACACATTGATATATTTTCTGTGCTTTTTTCCCAGGTAAACTTCTGTCTATTTATTAATATCATTCGAATCTTACTGCAGAAGCTAAGATCTCCTGACGTGGGGGGCAATGACCAATCCCAGTTTAAGTACGTATTCAAACATATTCTTTATGAAATTAAATCTCAGCATTGCTTTGAAATACATTACAGTTTAGTCATCCACTCCTGTTAAATTTAGTGTATTCAGTATGAATTTTATAATTATGATGCATAGCTAGTTTATTCATAAATAGGAATTTGGAGCAAAATTTTAAATATTAAACAAAAAACATTTTCTGGAGAGCCATCATATAGCATCAATAAAGGAGATAAGATATACAAATTGTGCAAGTGATCCATATTGACAATAGTAGTTTAGCAGATGCATTGTAAACTATCAGTGGGAAAGAAAATTCATAAAAGGAATCTTGTCTTAGAATATTGGGACTTTTAATGCTGACTTCCTTTTAAAAATGTCTGCTTGCTGTTTGTCATGAAAGCCCTCTGGCATCAACATTATCTGATCTGGAAATAGTGGGGTTGTTTACATAAATTAATCAGCTTCCAGGTTTTATTGTCAAATCTTAATTGAACAAGCTGAAGTTAGAAGCTGATTGGCTACCATACACAAGTGCACAAGATGCTAAGTGCACCAGGTTTAGGCTCCATGCATGCTAGCATTTTTTTTTCTAAGCTCAAAAAACGCTGGAAAACATGCTGGTAATAGCGTTTTTAAGAAGTGTTTCGGAGCATTTAAGGAGCGCTGATGTTTTTACAGTACATGTAGGGCAAAAAAATCTAGAAAAAAATCTGCTAGGTGTGTTTTAGTAGCATATTAGTAGCATTTAGGAGTGTTTATGAGCATTCAGTGTTTTTTTTTTTTTTTATTTCTGCTGGCAAATTGCTCCCAAAAAACACAAAAAAAGCGTTTTTTTTTCTGCTCCTAGAAGCTGAAGCTTGAAAAATGCTTCTAGCTTAGAATAGTGTGCTTGGATAACACTACGTATGTGCTTCTAAGTGCAGAGAAAAAAATGCTCATAACTAGCTACTAGGAGCTTAAAGATAGGGTGCTTGAAGCCTCAGTAGATCTCCCCCTCCCCCCCCCCAGTGTATTGCATAATTCTTCCAATTCAGAGACTCAGGAATGATGCCGGGTGATGTTCAGGCAACTAGCATTTTCATAAGGAGGCCAGCATGGCAGCATCACTATTTCTCTCATAAAAGAAAAACAGTTTTTGGAAAGTACAACTTTTCTACCCAAATCACTGCATAGAAAATACAAATAATTTTTTACTGTGCATTTTTACTTTTCAAAAATAATGATGTGAATGTGGGGAAAAGCCTCTTTAACACACAGTAAGCTTAAACATTTTTTATAATGAATCCATCATTAAAAAGAAATAAAACAAACATGTTATCATGTTATCAAAATATCTTAATTCACTTTCCGCTCGCCCGCCCACGCGCAGTGTATATTGCAGCTACAGGACCAGCAATGTACCCTTACGTTACTGGTGTTAAAGCAACACAGGGAGGCACTGTGCTTCCCCCCCCCGCACGTCTGTTGTGTCCACTAGACACAGCGGAATGAAGATCCGGGTGAACAAGACCCGGTGGTCTATATGATCACAGGATCACAATAACAACAAAGTTGTTTTGAATCCATCTGACAGTTGGGCAATATATTGTGTTTCTGTGCATTCAAATTTACAACACCCACCCTTTTATTCTCTAGGGCCTCTGCATTAAAAAAAAAATGTACTGTTTGGGGGTTCAAAGTAGTTTTCTAGCAAAAAAACTATTTACATGTAAACAAAAAGTGTCAGAAAAGGCTTGGTCATTAAGTGGTCAGAAGAGTGGGTGGTGTTTGCCATAAGCTTCTAATGTTGGCCCAGGATAGTAGAATCACCCCCCCCCCCCAAATGACCCCTTTTTGGAAAGTAGAATCTCCGTGGTATTTGCTAAGGGGCATGGTGAGTATTTTGCAGATCTCATTTGTTGCCACAAGTTTTGGGAAAACAAAGAAAGAAAACAAAAATGTATTTTTTCTTTTCCTCTTTCTCAAAATCCTGTGCCAAAATTGATGTCTGCAAAATACTCACCATGCCTCTTATGAAATTCCATGGGCTGTCTACTTTTTAAAAACAGGTCATTTGGGGGTGTGTTTGTACTATCCTGACAAACAGGATGACACTACATAAAGTTAAGGAATACAACAGTGTTGTCTTTACCCTACTATGCCGAGAGAGATAATATCTTTGCTCACTCTGCTTTCTTCTTCTTTCAGCATATTTCTTGTCAATACATTTGCATACAGCTCACATGACTGGCTCCATCTCCTGGTCTGAATGCTGCTGTACAGCTTTATCCAGACACCTATCACTGTTGTTTATGTCCACCATGCATCAAGATCAATGGGAGGCATGTGGCGTCCTCTCTTACCCACACCACTGACTGTTATAAAATGTGGGGAAGGTTGAGTGGCCACATACAATTGCTACAATTGGGTCAAACCTGTAGACTGCATGTGTGTTTTTGTCACAAAATGGATCGAAATCTTCTAAAATGTTCGTTTAGTGCTTACTTTTTGGTCTGTGCTGATTTCATAATGCAGCTATGCAGAGTCTGAATTTCCTGCTAATGTCAGAACTTGACTTGTGTACAGCACCAGTGATTGAGATATAGAGAGTATATCCTGCTATCAGTAAAGAAAGTGTCATTGTCATACAAGGCATTTTGCCCTAGTGTGAGTAATATTTTATTTTTGCCTTTTTTCAGGAGACTCACAAAATCCACCCTTCTGCTTATACCATTGTTTGGAGTCCACTACATGGTGTTCACTGTTTTTCAGATGCCCAGTTTCAGTGAATGTCAGATATGGTTCGAGCTTTGTGTTGGGTCATTTCAGGTAAAAAGATACATTTGTATATCCAATGATCTTGTAAGATACAGTATAAAAACTTAAAGCAATACTAAAGGTTCACTTTTTTTTTTTTGGAAAATAACAAACATGTTCTATTTACCTACTGTGTGTAGTAGTTTTGCACAGAGCAGCCTGGATCCTTCTCTTCTCGGGTCCCTTGCTGGCGCTCCTGGCTCCTCCTTTCTGTCGGGTGCCCCCCATAGCAAGCAGCTTGCTATGGGGGCACCCAAGCAGGCGTGTTCCCAAAGAACAAAAGGTATATCGCTCATGCAAACAATCCAGATCAATCCACAACAGCTGCAGGCTCTGGCTCGCCACCACACACGATGCAATAGGAAGAAGGGTCAGCTGCACTCCGGAGGATAGATGAATATAGTGTGTATTTATTGATCCATAGGACACACAAAACACCAGGACATGAATACAGGACTTGTTAACGCATTTCACACAATCTTGTGCTTAATCGTTGTGATTAAGCACGAGATCGTGTGAAACGCATTAACAAGTCCTGTATTCATGTCCTGGTGTTTTGTGTGTCCTATGGATCAATAAATACACATTATATTCATCTATCCTCCGGTGTGCGGCTGACCCTTCTTCCTATTGCAGGTGTATTCCCAAGCCGCTGCTCGGAGTGTCCATTCACACACGCCTCTCTCTCCTCATTGGCTGACTGGCTGTGATTGACAGTAGTGGGAGCCAATGGCTCCCGCTTGCTGTCTCAGCCAATGAGGAGGCAGAGACCCAAGACAGCCGAGGCTGTCATGGACATTGCTGGATCTTACCCACACTACTAAAAATGCCAATGGCTCCCACTTGCTGTTTCAGCCAATGAGGAGGCAGAGATGCAAGACTGCCAAGGCTATCGTGCACATCACTGGATCTTACCCACACTACTAAAAATTATAAAATGTGGGGAAGGATGAGTGGCCACATACAACTGCTACAATTGGGTCAAACATGTAGACTGCATGTGTGATTTGTCGCAAAATGGATTGAAATCTTCTACAATATTATTAGTTTACTTGTAAATAGAGCTTACTGTCTCAGCCAATAAGGAGGCAGAGACCTGAGACAGCTGAGGCTGTCGTGGACATCGCTGGATCTTACCCGCACTACTGAAAATTATAAAATGTGGGGAAGGATTAGTGGCCACATACAATTGCTACAGGCATGTTCCCAAGCCGCTGCTCTGTGTGTCCATTCACATACGGAGCTGCAGCTTGGCCTCCGCCCTCTCTCTCTCCTCATTGGCTGACTGGCTGTGATTGACAGCAGCGGGAGCCAATGGCCAATGGCTCCCGCTTGCTGTCTCAGCTAATGAGGAGGCAGAGACATGAGACAGCCGAGGCTGTTGTGCACATCGCTGGATCATGATGGGGCTCAGGTGAGTATTGAGGGGCCACTGCTGCACACTGAAGGTTTTCTACCTTAATGCATAAATACATGAAGGTAAAAAACCTTGAAACTTTACAACAACTTCAGTTACGTGAAGGGTAATTGGTTGTTGTGGGTTATTGCAACATCATTGCTCTTAGCATTTATTACCAAACAAGCTATAATTATGTGTATTTTTGTTGCAGGGGCTGGTTGTGGCCATTCTGTACTGCTTTTTAAACACAGAAGTAAGTAATTTTGTATACTTTTGGTACTTAAAGTTCAAACATCTCTTGAAGTATAAATACAGTAGATTTTAAATTAAGATTTGGGCTTTAAAATGGTTTTAAACTTACATATGCCCAGTGAAGTGACTGGCCTCAGGTGATACACAAAGATTAAACAAATCCTCCTACATAAATTATCCCTGTTTATCTGTAGCGCTCTCTTCTCTACAGCCTCCTAAAACACACATTTTACACAGCATTCTGAGCTTCAGAAGGCAGGGGGTGGGGATCTGATTTCAGACGCTGCACAACATAGAACAGGGAGCTGAATGTAAATTGAGACCCGACTGGAGGGAATGGACACACACATCTCTACACAGCCTCATAGGGAAACATGCATTGCTGAGGCTGCCAATCCCCTGCTGTGTGCCGAGGGAGAGGAGGCAGTCCCCTTGGATTCTGTGGTATCAGCATAACCTGCTCATGCAAATAGCTGGCAGAGGAAATAGAGAGCAGATAGGAACCACACTAGGTGCTTTGGATTGAGGCTAGCACACATTATAGAGGGATATGTCTTATTCATTTTTCATTTCAGAGGTTTACAATCATTTTAAATTAATTTAATTCAGTGTTTACTACCCATAGTGCTGTATTTCTGCTCAAATGATTGTCTCAAAGCTTCCCCTATATTACCACAATGGGACTGATGAAATAATTATAGCATGAAGGTTCTCCCATTTAGCACTCAGCAATTAGAAAGTGGCTTGTCAGTTGTAACACAATGGTAGGTAAATGCTGCAATTTTTCTCAGCAAAAGTGCAGTTTTACTTTACGACATAATTGGCCACAAGACACTAATAAGATTGATGTTTCAATGTTTATAAACTACAGTAACTTTTATGTGGAAGATGAAATACTGTATACTGCACGTATGAGATACGGGCTATTGTTTCAAGATTTTTTAATGCGAAGCTCTCAGGGGAAAAACACATTATAGAAAAATACCTGCAAGGGAAGAGGTATTATACTCATCTCTCTTCAACCTTCCCTCTGTTCCAGTGCTGCAACTTCTTTAAGACTCTTTGGCATTTGACACTTCTAGGAGTGCAGGATGTCTATGTCCATTAGCACATGCCAAGGTTTCTTATCAAATGAAAAAGTCTTACAGAGGCTGAAACTGAAGGAAGGCAGATGACATGAGCCAACACAGAGATCAGGATAGCTTTTCCATTGCAGGTGCCTTCCTTTAAGATTTTTTTTATCTTGACATCTTGGTTGCATTGATATTTGTTTTACAGTAGCATTATTATTATTAGAGATGAGCGAAGTATTCAAAAATTCGATTCGGCTGATTCGACGAATTTGCGGAATAAATTCAATTCGAGTCGAATATATTCGCTGCGAATTTAACTTATAAAAAGGGTGTTTCTAGGCTTCAGAGAGCCTTTATATTAGTGCAGAACACTGTACCTTTAATTTAATGCCCTTGGAGTCTGCTGGGAAGAGAAATAATACTGTCAGTCAGTATGACATGCAGATGAGTGCCGTCGATCTTAGAATCACCGCACACTTCACTCATTTGGGCAGTCACGGGGCCAAAACCAGAGTGTGGAGCCACAGTGTGGCGGTGGAGGCAGCAGCAATGGGAGGCCATACAGCACCCTATGACAAAATGGAACCCACCAGCAGTGTGAGGAGACCTGAAAGTGGCACATGGCAGAGTGTGGCGATGGAGACAGCAGCAATGGGAGGCCGTAGAGGACCCATGAGACACTCTGGACCTGGCAGCAGCATGAGGAGGCGTACAGGGGCCCATGACAGATTACGGGCCTGGCAGCAGCATAAAGAGTCGGTACGGGGGCCCATGGCAGATTACGGGCCTGGCAGCAGCAATGGGAGGCCCGTAATCTGCCAGCACCCTATGACAAAATGGAACCCACCAGCAGTGTGAGGAAACCTGAAAGTGGCACATGGCAGAGTGTGGCGATGGAGACAGCAGCAATGGGAGGCCGTACAGGGACCCATGAGACACTCTGGACCTGGCAGCAGCATGAGGAGGCGGTACGGGGGCCCATGACAGATTACAGGCCTGGCAGCAGCATGAGGAGTCGGTACGGGGGCCCATGGCAGATTACGGGCCTGGCAGCAGCAATGGGAGGCCCGTAATCTGCCAGCACCCTATGACAAAATGGAACCCACCAGCAGTGTGAGGAGACCTGAAAGTGGCACATGGCAGAGTGTGGCGATGGAGACAGCAGCAATGGGAGGCCGTACAGGGACCCATGAGACACTCTGGACCTGGCAGCAGCAAGAGGAGGCGGTACAGGGGCCCATGGCAGAGTGGCGAAGCGTAAGCAGCTTAAATTGAAGGCCATACAGAGGCCTATGTTAAAAATAATAACATGTTTGGGGCATGATTCATGGCGGATTTAGTCAGTTGTGTCAGGAACTGGTGGTTGAAATCCAGACTAATCCACGCCTGATTCATTTTCACAAACGTGAGTCTCTCCACACTTTGGGTGGACAGTCGTGTCCTCCGCGGAGTTACAATACCTCCTGCCGCACTAAACACGCGCTCCGATGCCACGCTACAGGCCGGGCATGACAGCCTTTCAAGCGCAAATTCAGCTAGTTGGGGCCAAAGGTCAAGTTTCGTTGCCCAGTAGTCAAGGGGAATTGTCTACCTCGGTTGGCAGGGTGCTGTCCAAGTAGGCCCAAGCCTGTTGTTTGAGCTCCTGCTCTAGGTCAACCTGATGCTGCTGCTGCTGTTAGTAG